GTGGTAGCCCTTGCTGGTGCAGCGGGTGTATCCACCACTGGTTGATACTTGGCAGGAACAACCTTCGGTTCAGAAGGTGGTGGATACTTAGCAGGAACTATAACAGGCTTTGCTGATCTCTGACCAGGTGGCGCTGGGACAATACGGGCCGGACGGCCTTCACTTTGCTTTCCTTCTGAGACCCTTACACTACCCTTAGGCTGTGTAGGCATCGTCCTGGGCCTCGATGCTGGATCAGACGGCTTCGAACGGGCTTTTGCTTTGGCTGGAACTTCAGGTGGTGAGTTCGATCTTGTTCCAACCTTTGCCTTTGCAGTCGCTGGACTCGGTGGCGAGGCCACTCCTGGCGAATGCGAACGAAGCCTCAGGGAAGCTGCTTTGGACTTGGCATGGGTCTCTACTGACTTCGGCTTGGCAGGCGGCGGTCCTCTTGTAATCAATGATGATGAAACCATTCTTTCAAAGATGCTGCCAATCGGTGGTGCGGTCCTTGGTGTCGCAGGAGGGACATTGACCTGTGGTGGTACGGACACTGGTGCACTCGGACTTGACTCCATCTTTGGACCTACTGTGGACGATGGTGCTGTTGGCATGGGTGCTGTAGTTGGCGGAACCGGTGTTGGTGCTACAGTCGGTGCTATTGGCGTCGCGACAGTTGGTGCACTTGGGGTCGTGGTCATATCAGGTGGTGCACTCGAAGACGCGGTCGAAGCTGTCGCCCTTGGATCGCCAGTAACATAGACACCGGATGGCTGAAGTTCCACCTCCGACAGGAGGTTGTAGGAGACTCCAGACTTGCCAACTCCATGTGCAGCTTGAAGTTGGGAGAAGGCATCAGTCCTGAAGACGAGGTGACCGCTCGGCGCGCGACTCAACGGGATGTGCATCGCGCCGGGGCCCCACGAGACCTGATACCCCTCCGGCCCTGGGAAGGTGAGGAGCTCATGGCCTTCCCTCATCTCAAGCACAGCACCTCGTCCTGTCAAGGACTTCAGGCCAAGCAATGCAGGAAGATCTTCGCCAGGACCATCAACAACTGGTGCCTCGAAGGAGAAACGAACGGCTTCTCCTGCACCCGGAGCGAGAGGTCGATCTGACCCGTCCTGCGGTCGAATCACACGAGGGACAGCCACCGGGACATTGGTGGACTTGGTGCAACCCTGCGTGCCATTGCCGACACCTCGAATCACCATGGGATTGGGCATGTCGGACTGATAAGACCTATGGCCGTATTCTCTTGCTGCTTCCGCCTGGCGTGTTGCCCACTTCCTGCCACACAGGTTTGTGTATGCGCCTGGATCAACAATGATGCTTGAACCACCTGCCAATTGGGTTTGAGCATGGTACACTCCTTCAGATGCATCCAGCCACCACGGCCAAGCCTGTTGCTCGGGTGTTCCAAAGCTCTCTTCCTCTGGCGGGTCACGATGGCGTGGCGTATGCTGTGCATCAACACTGACATACCTGAAGTTCGCAATGACATTGCCGGCTCCTCGGCATGTGGGACACTCTGGCTGCTCTTCACGGACTAGCAACTCGGTCCAACAAGTCTCATGGAACAGGTGCCTGCAGCAAAGACGAACTAACGGCTCTGCATTTGCGAACTCCTCTTGGCAGATGGTGCAGGTGTCAACTGAGCCATCAAAACCATCAAAACGTGAGTGATTGGATGTCTCACGAGAAGTGGCGGACGGGACAGGAATCTCATGAACAGGCTGTGGCTCGACAGTGCGAAGGGCTGCACGGACTCTTGATTCAAGATCTCGCCTTTCCTTCTGTCTCCGCTCAAGCTCTAATACATTCAAGGTCTGTCCAACTACCTGAAATGGCTGCAGTGACACGGCTTGGTTTGGATCGACGGACACGATTGACTCTTCACCTTGAGGTCGTTGAGATGGCTCCATGTTCAACAGCAGGGACGTGTCATGGATATCTGAGATTATCTGACTTTGATACCTATCCAGTGAGCTTACAACGTTCTGCTGAATCGGATGCACGAACTCAGGTGGTGGCATTGGCGTTGAGCCCAAGGCGAATTGGAACTCTGGCATGTTGGCCCACAACGGAACTGAGGGCACTGGCGTGTCACGACGATCAGCTTGATGTCGATCTGGTTGTATTGGTTGTCGATCTGGTTGTACTTCTTGAGGTAAGAATCCTGCGTCAGCTGGTTGTTGTGGCAATGCATCATTCTGTTGAGAACTGGCAGGCGAATTGCCTTGGGGACGTAATGGAAAAGGTCGGAATGTTGTATTCGGGGCCAATGGATTATGTGCTGACATGGGTGTCGCAGGGATGGTCCATGATGTGGTCGTGGATGGAGCCTGCCATGACATGACTGACGGGGCCGCCGGCTGGAACGAAGGCATCTGTGGCATGTGTCCTTGGTACGAATGCGATCGAGTCGGTCCGTACGAGGTCGGCTGTCCCTGTGGCATGGGATACGACTGCGAGCTCCACGGATCGTTCTGTTGCAATGGATCGGCTTCTTCAACCATTAAGAACGTACCACTGATGATTCCAGGGGGGAGATCATGTGCTGCTTGGCTACTCAATGGTGCATGCGTTTCAATGAACAATGTGGTGTTGGATTGAGATCGTTGTGGACACTTGTTCACAAGATGTTCGGTGCTACCACACTGATGGCATTTCATGATCTCTCCATTCTTGCCCCGGGGATTGCCTCTTCTGCCCTTGCCCTTACCGGACGACTTGCGCCAATTGCGGCCTTTGGCCATGGGGAACATTGATGCAACTTCATGGTCGGACAATGATGCTAGATACGCACCGGCATTTTGGCTTGTGGATTGAATCTTAGCCTTACCCTTACCCTTACCCCCTTTCTTTCCCTTGCCACCCCTCTTCAAGAACCTACGAACTCTCCGGGTGGGCTTGTTCATGTGCGAACGCCAAGCCTGCTTTGCACGGCTATACGCCCACCAAAGACGATGCGTTTCGGATTCCGGCCTGGCGAACTCCTCTGGCATGTCCTCCTCATGAACAGGGGATGTGTTGGATGAGGTGTCACTATCTGTACACGAATCATCATCGGCATAATATGCTGCTGGGGTGTCATACGAATGTGGGGAAGGCTGATACGATGACGATGCATCATTGGCTGGCATTGCAGGATAATGTTCAAAGTTCGACCATGACATGTCCTGGAACTGATCTGGGCTTTGTGCCAAATTCTCACCAAAATATGCCTGATTGAACCTTTGGTTGGGTCGGTTCATCGAAGATGCTACATTGCCTGGTGTCCTCTCAACAATGTGGCCCATTCGACGAAGTGCTGACTTTAATGCCTCCATGCCTTGATCATCTGCTGGCAGGTTCCCATTCAATGGCGGTGTCGCCAAGAGATTCAACAACTGATGTTCTGAAACTCCTACCGCCCTGAGAAGCAACCAACTGAGGCCTTGGGGTGACAGGACAAGATTGCCATGCTCTTGAGCCTTGATCCTAGCACCATCGAACCTCTGCAACAAGGCGTCGATCCTCTCGCCCGAATGCCTATCGAACGAGAGCAGGCCTTGGATGGCCTCGAGACGCTGTTCCTCACCAAGCCTTGCATACCTTTGGGCAAGCGAATGCATGATGAAGGTCACCGAGTCCACTGCCTGGCCATTGATCACGCCTCCATTCAAGATCACTGCTGGAGGGATCGTCCTGGCAAGCTCTCTGGCATTGCCAGTCAGCACACTGAGAAGCGCTGCTGCCTTCCGGCCACCATCCCATTCACTCATGATGCTCCACAGAAGCACATCACGGCTCCAATGGACGAAGGGATAGTTGCTTTCAAGCTCAGGCCCCCAGCTTGGTGGCAGCTTGGGGTTGCGAGAGGAACCAAATCCGGGATGCATGAATCCGAGAACACAGCATGGGGCAACCGCTGCCAAAGATGCAGCCACATACTGGATCAAGACGATGCTCCTATCAAAGATTCCAATCGGCATACGTGTATTCATCAGGCGGCGTCCGACAAGATCCTCTTCGGGAGATGAGCTGGACGCCAACAGCGTACTTTCAACAATCCCTCTGATCTCTTCCGAGATGGAGATTGAAGCGTTTGATGAATTCCAAGCACTCGAATTCGACAATGCATCCTTGTGTCGGGCCTTCAACCACCGCTTGCGTCGCCTCCTCTTGAGTTCAGCGCTCCGAGAACCCTTCCGAGTCGGTCGAGTCTTAAGGCTGGCCCTGTGATAGGAGCGAAGCTTGTCATTGGGCTTCGGAATCCTAGCCTTCGCCGCCTCGTGAGATGCACCTGTGGCGTTCGAAGATCTGACCTCCTGCAACCTCCAAGATGTCTGACCTTCCACCTCACCTAGCGAACGAACGTGCCCAGGCTGGCTTGCATTGGACGAAAGCCTGGGCACTGGCTGAGACCTCTGACCTCCGGTGGTGTCCATCACACTCTCAAGATGAGACAGCCTTGGGTCTCCCCAAGACTGCCTCACCCCGAGAATGATCAGGCTAACCACCGCTAGCACCATCATTCCGACGCGGGTGAGTGAGAACATCATGATCACCTATCTATATATATCTTGATATGGATGAAGCCTAAGTGATCTGTCCTAGCGAGCGTCGATGGAACTTCAGGTCAGGGGCCCTGGATCCTACGCCGGGGTTACCGGCTCCGCTACCAACTAGAAAAACCGTCTAGAGCGACGATACGCGACGTATCGAAAGCTAAAAGCTGAACACTTGTTTCTGTCGCTATGAATTATGTCTTGTGTTGGAACTTGTGTTGACCCGGGTCCGCCCTTGAACCACCATGGGATATGTGTGATGTGCATAGATCACGTACCCTTCTAGTCACAGACCTCCGAAAACCTCTCCAATTCCTTCATCAGTCGGTGTAGAAAGTACTGTACTAGTATCTACTTGCTCCTAGTAGTACGGCCAGGAGCCCCTAGTAGCGTTCTTGCTCCTAGTAGCGATGCCCTTTGCTCCTAGTAGCTTCTTGCTCCTAGCATTCAGCTTCTTCGCCCAGGAGCCATGGGCACCAAGGCTTTGGGCACCTCCAGGCCATTCAGAGCCCCGCTGGGCGCCATGCTTGGCCGCCGCAAGCGCATCACCTGAATAGGAACACCAACAGGTGCGGAACAGCAGTGACGTTTCATTCGGTTCATTTCAAAGTTCTTGTTGTTTTCAGTGTGTGCGGAACAGTGGCTGTAGACTCTAAATGTTTGGACTCGTCAACAATTTTGGCTTGGTGGGTTTCCTCTTATACATTCACAAATGCCCCATATAATATACCTCATGTACTGAGGTGTGATTTGTTGCGTTCGGTTCAAGGCAAGATGGAATCGGTTTCGCAGTACATTGCGTGTGTCCAACCTTCAGCAGCAACGGCTCAGGCTGCATCGCTCGGCAAGCGGACAACAAATCGGAGGTACGAAGCGGCTTGCATGGGATCTTTTTGTGCCCCGTAGCGTTCTTGTTCCTAATAGTTTCTTGTTCCTAGTAGGAAGGCCAGGAGCCCCTAGTAGCGTCCGAACGCTCCTAGTAGCGATGCCAGGAGCCCCTAGTAGCTTCTTGTTCCTAAATGATCCCCAAGTAGTGGAGAAAGAGACCCGTGAATCTATCTGGGCAGAGCTTGTGCTGGGCAGAGCCTCGACAGCTGAGATTCAGCCGCTCAAGAAACAAGGCAATGCAACTTGCGACACCAATCCTTCCCAAGTACAAAACATCCTAACAGTGTGTTTGTCCGAAAGGGATGAGCAATGAACATATCATATACTATATACCTGAAAAGGGATGAAAACGGAGACCTTTACTTTCAATAAGCACGCTGTTCAAGGGTTTGTCCAACGTCCTTTGGACGTGGATCAAAAAGTACTCGGAGACAGACTCCTGCCATTCTGTCCTTCGAATTCTTGCCTTGTCGGCGATAAAATACTCTTGCCACTGAAGTTCCGCGACACAGCCTTGGGTGACGTCACGGATTCAGACCATTCACCACCACCATTGAGGAGAGACTCGATTTTCTGCAAGCGACTGTACATAAACTGAAAGGCACGTCTCTGCTCTTTGTTCATCAAGTGGGTGGTAAACATGACCGTCTGCAAGTCGATGCTCGTGGCAGCTCCTTTCATCCGGACACATGCATTTGCAAAAGTGATGGCATCAATGGTCGGCTCTCCCTGCAGCTCCACCAGCATTTTGAAGAAAGTCTCTGCGTTCTTGATGTCAATACCCCTGGTCTGAAGGTATGACCTGAACTGATAGGTTTCCAAGAGCGTTTGAAATTCTTTGAGCCCCACTTTATGCTCACCCTCTTCATCTGTCTGCAACATATCTCCAAAGAGCTGCGCCAACATCTGCGTATCTTCAAAATCACGCAGTTGCTGCTCCACCACAAGTAGATCAATATCAGGCTGAGCCAGCTTCAAAGCCTTCTCCACAAATGTACCTTCGAGCAAAAACCAACTCTGATCATTTTGATCTAGTTTTACATAGTTTTACCGAACCCAATATTCCGTAATATCACAGACAGCCACAAGAACGCGAATATGTGCAAGCAAGGTGCTCGTGACAATGTTCCAAACGGAGATGAAAACAAAGGCCACATAGGCAACGTAGGTCACTTGCAGTAGCCCTGACACTTCAAGAACATCATAGGGGTCCTTCCAGTCAACACCAGAAGTGATTGATTGAAAAAGAGTCAAGAGTGTGTATTCCACCGAGCCAAAGTAGTGGAAGATCAGTGTGGTATCTTTGTCCGATGGTTTTGCAGCTTCCTCTTGGAGGAAGCCCACAAGGGATTGTTGGACGAAGAGCGCAAAGACGTACATAACGAAAACCAGCATTATAATACACCACATGACATTCATGAGGGATCCAAGCACGCAATCTAGCATGAGGCGCAAGTCGCTGAAAAACCGCAAAGTGCGGAAGATGCGCAGGATCTTGACAATCTTGCACAAGCGGAGCAAGCGCAGGAAGCCCAGATTTACCGGATCAGAAGCCGCTTCACTTGGTGACAAATCATAAGCCAGCAGGTTCTCTACGACAGAGACAATGACCAGGAAGAAGTCAAACCAGTTCCACCCAAAATCGACATTCCAAAAGAAGTAGGCCCTGTGCACTAGTAGTTTCAAGAATACTTCTATGACATAGAAAGAGGCCAGCACCAAATCTCCAATCCTGATGGCTTGGGGTGTCGGCTCATTGAGGTGTTGCATTTCATAATCGGTTGCAAAGAAGATGAAGGCTGCATTGGCCAAAATGACAATGGTCGATAGCATGCTGAAGAACTGGCTTTTCACGAGCCGGGCTAGGCAGCTGGTTCGTTCCGGCTCTCTGAAAGAATAGAGCTTGTCCAGAACGTGAGACATGCAAAGAAAGCAAGGAGCAAGCCATCTGCCACAAAGAGTCTGATTCTGTATTGTCGAGTGAAAAGACTTCACAATATCTACGAAGGAGTTCCGCATGTCTGTTGGGAAGTCACCAATGCCATTGATCGAGTACATGTTGTTGACACCCTCTGAGGGAAACTTGGCTGGGCGACTGCCCTTTGAAGAGCCTGCTCGACTGCGAGAGCGACTTTTGATTGGTGAGGGTGGCACGTTTGAGAGGTAAAGAGGCGCGGGAATTGGCCGCGATCTAGTCGGCCTTTCACTCCACTCAATGCCCTCACCAGCAGGAGGGCGACTTCCAATTTCCTGACATTCACTCAGCCTTTTTGAAAACTGCACCTCTCTCTGCTCCGTGGGCGATGTTGTCCCTTCAGCCTTCTCTGGAGAAGATCGGCTCGACTGTCGAAGAGTATCAAATCGTACGCGCTCCAAATAGAAGGACAACGTCAAAAGCATCTCTTCTTCCTCATGGACCAACTTCGCAAGACTCGCATGCTTCGATTGGAAGTTGGATAAGAGCCCAGCTGCTGTGTCCACATCCGACTTGTCCTCGAAGTCTCGGCTTACGACACAGCAGCCGGAGAGGGACATGACTCCGCTGTACAATTGGAGCCCCTTAGGCTACAACGACTTGAGCCGCCCACTGCTACAAGGCCAAGTAGCACTTTTCATAAATACATGCATACGATGTGCATTGTGAAATTAAAGGTGTCAGTCTGTTTACTGTTTGGACATGTCCTGCGGTGCCTGCTGAGTCCAGTATCGAGAAGCCACCAGGCAACTCAAAGCAAAGCCACAAACACCCGACCAGGAGCTCCACAGGAAAAGCACCTGGCAGAAACCCGTCTAGCGCAACTCCTGTGAAGAACCTGCAACAATTAGGCTTGCGGAATTGCATCTGCCTGTCCCAGATGCGCCCCCCACATACTGTGCCATTGCTCCACAAAGAAGTCCCCAGGCCTTAGCCACTCCCCGCCAGGCTCGCGCAAAATCTGCATTACCGTTTGGTCAGGATACCAATCGCACGCCCACATCGGCGAGGTGAGGAGCCTCTCAGAGAGAAAGAACCAAAGGGATAATAGCTTCTACCCTAGTAGCCATTGCCTCCACCCTAATAGCGATGGCCTCCATCCTAATTACTAGCATCTGTAAGAAAGAATTGAAAATGAAATTAAATGAAAGCCAACTATATGCTTATTTGATCTTATTTGTCTTCGACGTCGACATTGACATCACGGACATCTCCAACGAAAGGCCCAAGCAGGCCCTTGGGCCTTCTCTGACATGTCTGCAGTGAGCACCGCGCTGATCACTGCACAGCAGCTGCTGAGACATAGGCCCGCGATCATGGCCACCTCAGAGCACCGAGAAACAGTCGGCGGGTGGAGCCGCGCGTTCAGGCAATCTGGCCCAACACCTAAATGCGATGGGAACCTAATAATGGTCTCCAACCTAGAAGCGATGGCCTCCAACCTAGAAGCGATGGCCTCCAACCTACAATCCGGGCCAACACCCTAAGCCCTGTGCTGTCAAGGCTGCAGTGGAGTGCAGCATGGCCTCTGATGCACACAACATCCCGGTCGTACAGCCAAGTTACAGCGACACATCTGCTTGCTGATGAGCATCAGCAGCCACTGCTGCTACACAACAGGAGCTTGAACTGACGAAGAAAACGTCAAGGCCTAGGCACATGCAAAAACATCATTGTGACCTTTGACTCACCAACAAACATGTGTTAAATTTCCAGGTCTCCGGTCTCCAGCCAATGTGCCGGAACAAGTTCAGTTGCGGGACCTGTCTGCACGAACTCAGTACCGCACTTTTACCACGCACACTGATCTTAGACTTATCTTGGAGAGCAAAGTCTACCAAGTGGCAATAATGGCATAGGACAGAACACCCACCAAGTCAAACCAGAAAACGGCAAAGTGAGATCGAGGCCTCAAGGATAATCAATTATATAAGCAATGGATCACATTCCAACGCCAAAAATCCACAGAATGGTCTGCTATTAGACGTCTCTCTTTTCTCGCAATGGACCTTCGTGCTTGGGCCCTGACCATTTCAAAGATAGCAGGTCCAGGGCGGGCAAAGGCCTGGCCGAATCAAGTCCTGAGAAGCCGCTAGCAACAGCTGCAACAGTCAAGTTGCGTCGGCAGTACGCAGGGCCCATGATGCAAGTGAGGCCTCGTGCAGTTTTACATATAAAATTTCAATCTAAAAATGTCAGACCCAAAAGGTGCTACCTGGTCCAGATATGAACAATCAATGAAGCATCACATATTTCACAGACTTGGTGCACTCTTGGTTTCGCAACACAACAGCTAAGGCAGCTAAGTGCACCCACTCAGCAGGATAGCTGCACGAGCTGCTAAGTGCCTGCATCTTATCATACCGACATATGGACATTAAGCATCTCAGAATAGAGTTTTTGTCCACACAAATGGCTGGGGTCATCTGTGGACTCAAAGTAAGACCCAAAGCCACGGCTTTTGGTAATCTTTCTATCTACAACAAATGTTTGGAGGTCTTTCCACTACGTAGGGGTACTAGAGGGTGGGTATGTACCACCGACAAATAATGCACAAAACATACCACCCCGGACCACGGAGTTATATATATGTAAGTGTCTATACATGCGTAGATGCATACATATGATACATAAGAATGCAGTGAAACATCCACACCATGACTTGGTCTAGCATGGGTGGCGAAAGGCTGAATTGGCACTGGTCCTCACAGGCGCTTAGGCATGCAAGACATCCAGCAAAAGGGGAAGGGGCCTGTACACGCCTACACCGGGGTGTCTGGCACAATATATAAGTACCAGTTTCGGACACGGTATAAACTCAAATGTGAATAGAGCGCTTATTCAGGGAGCCAACTCGAGATTCAAGCCAAAGATCTGAATGTGTGTGTTTTTGCTAGCACCAATAATATATTCATAGTATAATATTACATATATAAGCACGCCAGCGGCCATGCACATGTTCATCTTATGTTCATTTCTCCACATGTTGTTCACGTGTCGTTTGTTGGAGGGGAGTTAGAGTTAAAGACTGTT